TTACTTCTTAAGTCCTAACATTTTACCATTTTTGATTTAGACTTTTTTTTTAAGAAATAAAAGGTAACAGATAAAGGTAAATCCCTTTTGTGCCCATTCCACGTTTTCGTATTTTACTATATATACACACATCCATTTGCATACTTTAAAATTTTATATAAATGATATCATACTGTACATATTCTACAATTTTGTTATTAACATTGTGTTCTTGAAATTTACCTATATTGATAACTCCAGCCCCAACCCATTTCAAGTGCTAATAGTATTCCATTATATGTGTATTTCACTACTTACTCATTTCCCTTTGACGGACATTTATGATCGTTTCTAACTGTCCACTATTTCAAGAGTTTCAATGACCATTCTTGTACCTGTTCCTTTGCACACATGTGGGAGGGTTACTTTTGGGGGCGTGTGCAAGAGTAGAATTTCTGGGTTATAGGAGAGATGTATGCATCTTATGCTTTATTAAATACTCTCAAAGTGCCCTCCTAAGTGGTTGTAGCATTGCATACACTCTCTCCAACAGTGTGGATTTGCAATGCAGTTGCAAGGATAAAATTCCCCAAAAGTGCTGTACACTCTGTTCTTTCCCTGGCCTTACATTTTGATCCTGCACCAATAACACCATCTTATTAAATGGGTATCTGGTAGAAAAAGTCCCCTAGTTTGTCATTTTTTGGTATGGCTTTGGGTGTTCTTTCTCCTTGATCTTTCACATGAATTTCGTATGATCTTTCATATGAAAGCTAATTTCATAGAATCAGCTTTTCAAGTCCACAGAAAACCCCTATTTGGATTTTGACTGGAATCCCAATGAATTTATAGATTAATTTAGGAAGAAATAACCTTTGTATAAGTGATATTTAGCCTTCTCATCCATGAACATGATAGTATTTTCCATTTATTAAGCATTCTTTAATGTAGATTCCTTCTCTAATATGAATTTTTAAATTTTCTCTATAAATATCTCATGCTTACTAACACTTTTCTAGGCATATTATAATTTCATTGCTATGGTAAGTGCTATCTTTTAAAATTTTATTTTCAAGCCACTTGTTGCTATTAAATAGAAATGCAACTGATTTTTTAAAACTGATCAGCTGATTTAATACTGAGTAGCTTATGATGATTCATATGTCAATTTCCTTGAGTGCTTGATTTATCAATTACTGAGAGACATATACTAAAATATCTCATAGCAATTGTGGATTTTCCAATTTGTCCAAATTCTGTCAAATTTTGCTTTTATATCTGAGGCACCGTTTTTCAGTAGTGTGTACTCTTTTACTGGTAGATAGAGGGCTCTTTAGAATGTCTTTCAGCAACAAAGTCTCCTTGCCTAGTATCAGTATGATTAGCGCTGGCTTCATTATGATGAAGATTTGCCTAGTGTTGTCTTTGCTTTTCCTTACAATATTTTAGTGTCATATTTCAGCAGTGTCTCTTGTAAACAACATGTAGTCAAATTTAAAAACAATCTAATTGTATGTCTGAACTGATGAGTTTAAGCTCATTTTTGTGATAACTGGTGTACTTAAATTTATTACAATTATCATATTGCCGACTTTCTATGTAACTTGATTTTTCCAGGTTTCCTTTTCTCCTTTATAATCAATTGAATTTTCTTCCCTTTCCACTGTTCCATTGATTCAGATGTTAACCGTTTTCTTTATAATCTTCCAGTGGATCATTCCTGAAGATTACAACTGTACAGCTGACATAATTAAATCTAAACTCATCTTTATGTACAGTCCCAAGCAATATAAGGACCTTAGACTGTTTTACTACTTCTGAGTTAATAGGCGTTTGGTAATTTAGCTCCACGTTGTTATTATACTTAGTTTATATAGTTATAGGCACTGCTTGATTAGCTTTACCCCCATGTTAAACAATTTTTCCTCACCACTACTTCTTCCATTCTTACTTTCTAAATTCAGTTTTCTCCCTCATGAAATAAATTTTCAGCTGTTCTTTCAGTGTCTATATTGGTAACTACTTGTATAAATTGTTTGGAAATGTCTTGATTTTACATTCATTCTGAAATAATAATATGGCTAGATATAAAATTATAAGTAGACAACAATTTTTTCTCGATACTTGGAAGGTAACTGTTCTATTGTCTTTTGGCTTGTACTGCTGCTGTCCGGAAATGTGCTGCCGGCCTACCTGTAATCCTTTGGAAGGTGTTCTGCGTGATTACTTGTTCAGATCTCTCCTTTGGACTTCAGTCATATCGCGACATTTTAAGGTATGTATTCGTCTTTATTATACACTCTGGAAAATTCTGTTAATATCTTCCTGATACCCTTATTCTCTATTCTTTCGTCTTTATTATACACTCTGGAAAATTCTGTTAATATCTTCCTGAGCTGAGCAGAGAGCCCGATGCGGGCCTCGATCCCAGGACCCTGAGATCATGACCTGAGCCGAAGGCAGAGGCTTAACCCACTGAGCCACCCAGGCGCCCAAGATTCGCCCTTTTAAAGAGCACCAATCAGTGTTTTTAGTAGATACACAGAATGGCAAACATCATCCCTATCTAATTTTAGACCATCTTTATCATCCCTGTGCTCATCAAAGGCACGTCCCATTTCCCCTCTCCCCCAGGCCGTTGGCAACCACTACCTGACTTTTTTCTCTGTGATTCCGCCTCTTCTGGACACCCCATACGGATGCAGTCATGCTGTGTATGGTCTTTTGTGACTGGCTTGTTTTCTCTTAGAATAAGGTTTTTCAGGGTACATCTGTGGTGCAGCATATTTTGGGACTTCATTCCTTTTTAATGCCAAACTGTATTTCATATGGAGATACCACATTTTATTTGTCTGCTGGGCACATGGTGGACACATGGACTACTTCGACTTTTTGGTTACTGTGAATAATGTTGCCATGAACACTCATGACACGGTTTTGTGCAGAAAGGCTTTCTGCTCTCTTGGGTGTATACCCACGAGCGGTATTGCTAGGTCACAGGTAACTCCATGTTTAACATTTTGAGTAACTTCCAAACTGTTCCAAAGGGGCTGCACCATTTCACCATCTCACTAGAAATGTGAGCTCTAATTCCTCCACACTCTCACCAACACCTGTTACTGCCTTTTGATGATATACCCACGGGTGTGAATGGTATCTCCTTGTGGCTTCGATTTGCATTTCTCTAAGGGCTAATGATGTAGAGTATCTTTTCAAGTGCTTATTGGCCTTTTATATGTATCCTTTTTGGAGAAATGTCTATTCAAACTCTTTGCCCATTTTTTAACTGGGTCATCTTTTTCATTGTTGAGTTGAATTCTGGATAGAAGTGTCCAAGTGACTTTTTAAAAGTAAACCAGATCTTGTCACTCCCCTACAGACAGTGCCCTCTAATGACTCCCCAATGTTTAGAATAAAGTCCAAATTCTCACTCTGGCTTTTGGGGTCCTAGCAGGTTTTGCCACTTTCCTCCTTGCACAGTGCATTCCAGTAGAAGCAGGCTTCTCTCTGCCCCTGAAACACATGCTCATTCGTGTGTCAGTCCCAGGACATGTATGTCCCCCCCTGCTTGGAATTCTCTTTCTTGTCATTCAATTTGGATGTCACTTTTCAGACATATTTTTCTGAAAAGAAATTGCATCTAAAGAATCTCCCCTCTCCACCAAGAGGAACAAGGAAACTTTTGGCCATGATGGATATGTTCATTATCTCAACTATGGCTACGGTTTCCTGTACGTACATTATGTGTCAAAACTTTTCAAATGGCATACTTTAAGTATGTGCCATTTGTTTCACTTCAGTTACACTTCGATAAAGCTGTTAAGCAAAAACTCCCTTCACAATCACTCCTCCACTGCCACTGCCTCATCATACTTTATTCCTGAGGAGAAACTGACAATCTGAAGCCACCTTGTTAATTTCTTGATTTTGGTGCTTATCAACCATCTCATCCCACTAGAACAGTAGTTCCAGGAGAGCAGAAATGTTTTTCATCTTTGTAACTGCTATATCCTCAGCTTAGCTCACGATTAAGTGCTCAATAAATATCGGGCGCCCTGAATGAGTGAAATTGACGGAGGCTTAGGAGAGACTGACAGACAACAGGAAGGGCGGCTTTCTATTCCCTCAGATTCACTAGTACTTTTAGACTTCAGGGATGAGACACAGCTATCTCAAACTCTATTCCTGGGTGATACCCAAGATCATCGTCATTAGAAATATAATTTATTGTTCAACTGCTCTGTGGTACTCTTCCAGTATTTTATATATACTCTCCCACCAGGAGTCGTTATTTTTATAATAATAGCACAATCATAAGTATATGGCATAATATACATTATATAGTAATTGTAACAAATACAGTAATAGCATATAATAACTATAATAATAGCAGCAATAATAGAAAAAAAAACACTTGTTTAGCACTGGGTATTTAGCACATACTAGGGAAGCATTTAACCCACGTCATCTCATTTATTCCTCACAATAACTTTATGAAGCAGGTGTTCTCTTACGGACGAGGAATTTGGGATTCAGAAAGGTGAACTAACTGCCCAAAGCCACGTGGCTGGTAAAAGAGGCAGAGCTGGGACTCAAGCCTATGTCTGTCTTACTGTAGAGCTCACGCTCTTCCCATTGAGCTATAGCGCGTCTCCACTGCTCCGGTGACACGGTGCTAGTCCGGCTCACGTGCAAAGCCCGAGTCCTGAGACAGAGGTGCATCCTGACCGATACCCCTCAAACTCTGAAACAGGCCAGGAACCAAACTGACAGAGAGGAGAGGCTAGGTGCTGAGGATAAACCAGGATATTTGGAGTGAGGAAATTTTACTTTATCCCAACCTCTGCATCTAGCTCCCTTTGACATTTAATTCTTGTTTCTGATTACTCTCAGGTAGAACTTGGTCTTCATCTCAGGCGCCTTCTAGTGAGGCTGAGTGAAGAGACGCCGCCCATGGGAGATAAGCAATGCCCCTTCCCGACTTGGGCCCTGAGTTCAAGAGCTCACAGATGAGCCTTTACCTTTTGTGCCAGGTGGCTGTAGGTTGTCTCCAGTCAAGGAGCACCAGCCCACAGGGAAGATGTCCCGGGAGTCGAAGCGGCACCAGTAGTCAAAGGCCCCTCGCCACCCGTCAAAGGTGACAAGCACCTCTGAGCCCCGCACCTCCCCAATAGTGGCTGGGCAAATGAAATGAGGGTTCTTCCTGTCCACAGCTTCTAGCTTCATTCCCATTTTGAAGAAGTTGTGGGAAGGTGATGGTGGTTCCTAGATGAGAAACAGAAATATGCAGACCTAGATGCAAAGACAGAGGCATCTGTGCGCCAAAAGACCGCTACCAAATTTGGATGACGACAAAGTGACCGGCTGCTCTATAAGATTTAAATGGAAGATTCAGTCTTTGTTTTAAATGAATTTCAAAGGGTACCAAAGTATTACTTCTTAAGTCCTAACATTTTACCATTTTTGATTTAGACTTTTTTTTTAAGAAATAAAAGGTAACAGATAAAGGTAAATCCCTTTTGTGCCCATTCCACGTTTTCGTATTTTACTATATATACACACATCCATTTGCATACTTTAAAATTTTATATAAATGATATCATACTGTACATATTCTACAATTTTGTTATTAACATTGTGTTCTTGAAATTTACCTATATTGATAACTCCAGCCCCAACCCATTTCAAGTGCTAATAGTATTCCATTATATGTGTATTTCACTACTTACTCATTTCCCTTTGACGGACATTTATGATCGTTTCTAACTGTCCACTATTTCAAGAGTTTCAATGACCATTCTTGTACCTGTTCCTTTGCACACATGTGGGAGGGTTACTTTTGGGGGCGTGTGCAAGAGTAGAATTTCTGGGTTATAGGAGAGATGTATGCATCTTATGCTTTATTAAATACTCTCAAAGTGCCCTCCTAAGTGGTTGTAGCATTGCATACACTCTCTCCAACAGTGTGGATTTGCAATGCAGTTGCAAGGATAAAATTCCCCAAAAGTGCTGTACACTCTGTTCTTTCCCTGGCCTTACATTTTGATCCTGCACCAATAACACCATCTTATTAAATGGGTATCTGGTAGAAAAAGTCCCCTAGTTTGTCATTTTTTGGTATGGCTTTGGGTGTTCTTTCTCCTTGATCTTTCACATGAATTTCGTATGATCTTTCATATGAAAGCTAATTTCATAGAATCAGCTTTTCAAGTCCACAGAAAACCCCTATTTGGATTTTGACTGGAATCCCAATGAATTTATAGATTAATTTAGGAAGAAATAACCTTTGTATAAGTGATATTTAGCCTTCTCATCCATGAACATGATAGTATTTTCCATTTATTAAGCATTCTTTAATGTAGATTCCTTCTCTAATATGAATTTTTAAATTTTCTCTATAAATATCTCATGCTTACTAACACTTTTCTAGGCATATTATAATTTCATTGCTATGGTAAGTGCTATCTTTTAAAATTTTATTTTCAAGCCACTTGTTGCTATTAAATAGAAATGCAACTGATTTTTTAAAACTGATCAGCTGATTTAATACTGAGTAGCTTATGATGATTCATATGTCAATTTCCTTGAGTGCTTGATTTATCAATTACTGAGAGACATATACTAAAATATCTCATAGCAATTGTGGATTTTCCAATTTGTCCAAATTCTGTCAAATTTTGCTTTTATATCTGAGGCACCGTTTTTCAGTAGTGTGTACTCTTTTACTGGTAGATAGAGGGCTCTTTAGAATGTCTTTCAGCAACAAAGTCTCCTTGCCTAGTATCAGTATGATTAGCGCTGGCTTCATTATGATGAAGATTTGCCTAGTGTTGTCTTTGCTTTTCCTTACAATATTTTAGTGTCATATTTCAGCAGTGTCTCTTGTAAACAACATGTAGTCAAATTTAAAAACAATCTAATTGTATGTCTGAACTGATGAGTTTAAGCTCATTTTTGTGATAACTGGTGTACTTAAATTTATTACAATTATCATATTGCCGACTTTCTATGTAACTTGATTTTTCCAGGTTTCCTTTTCTCCTTTATAATCAATTGAATTTTCTTCCCTTTCCACTGTTCCATTGATTCAGATGTTAACCGTTTTCTTTATAATCTTCCAGTGGATCATTCCTGAAGATTACAACTGTACAGCTGACATAATTAAATCTAAACTCATCTTTATGTACAGTCCCAAGCAATATAAGGACCTTAGACTGTTTTACTACTTCTGAGTTAATAGGCGTTTGGTAATTTAGCTCCACGTTGTTATTATACTTAGTTTATATAGTTATAGGCACTGCTTGATTAGCTTTACCCCCATGTTAAACAATTTTTCCTCACCACTACTTCTTCCATTCTTACTTTCTAAATTCAGTTTTCTCCCTCATGAAATAAATTTTCAGCTGTTCTTTCAGTGTCTATATTGGTAACTACTTGTATAAATTGTTTGGAAATGTCTTGATTTTACATTCATTCTGAAATAATAATATGGCTAGATATAAAATTATAAGTAGACAACAATTTTTTCTCGATACTTGGAAGGTAACTGTTCTATTGTCTTTTGGCTTGTACTGCTGCTGTCCGGAAATGTGCTGCCGGCCTACCTGTAATCCTTTGGAAGGTGTTCTGCGTGATTACTTGTTCAGATCTCTCCTTTGGACTTCAGTCATATCGCGACATTTTAAGGTATGTATTCGTCTTTATTATACACTCTGGAAAATTCTGTTAATATCTTCCTGATACCCTTATTCTCTATTCTTTCGTCTTTATTATACACTCTGGAAAATTCTGTTAATATCTTCCTGAAATACTGTTATTCTCTGTTCTTTCTAATTAATCTTTCTGAAATTCATGATCAGCACATATCAGGCCTTCTAATATTATTCTCCTGTCTCTTCTCTTTAATATTTTCCATCTCTTTATCTCTTTGCACTGTGTTCTGGGGACAGTCCTTAGACATGTCTTTCAGTTAATTCTATAAGTCCTAGTTTCTTATACACCTACCCATTAATTTGTTCTTTTAATCATTAAGTTTCATTTCTGAATGTTCAGCTTGTTTTTTTCAAATATTTTTAGAAATAGGGTTTTGTATCTTCTCAATTTTTAAAGTCCTTCTTTTCATTCTTTAATCATTTTTAAATACTTCATTTATAATCTCTATCTGGTGTTTCTATTATCTGAAAGCCCTTGGCATATAGCCTGTTTGTTGGATCTGCCGATGTCCCATCATGTTGGATTTGTTTTGAGAGTTTTTGAGGACTCTGGAATTCTGAAATGGTGCTTCACTTTTGGGACATCTATGACCTTGGATTGAAAGCAACCAAACCACCTGGAAAGGCTTTGGGTTTGCCTCTGCGGGCACTCAGAAATATCTCCAGGCACTCTATCTGAACCGTGGACCTGCAGGGGTCAAGACCGCTTTATTGGAGGAAGTGACTCCATTTTCACCCCTCCCTAGAACCCACGCAGAGTCTTTCCTTATCAGCGTTAACAACCTTTCCACAAAGGAGTAACCAGCTGATCTGGTCATCTACATTGCAGTCTCAGGCCTGTTTCCCTGCCTTGCACAAGCCCACAAGTGCTCATCTATCCTACTGTGGCTGTTAAAATATAAGGTCCTTATAAAGTAAGACTGGGAATGCCCCTTAAGGCATCTACAGGTGCACCACATACACTTGCCACTGGTTCTCCTTCCTCATTCTGGCCTCTGCAGAGTTTCTAACTTTCTGGTAGCTCGGCAAAGCCTGTAAAAGAATATTTGTTGGTTTCCCTCCCCACCACCCCACCATTTTGATATATGCTGTAGTCAAAGGGTTTCTAAGTTGCCCAGTACACTATATTCTGGGAACCATATAGTGCTCTTTGGGTTTAGACTTAACTAGCAGGATAGGCAAAACTAATTTAGTCTCCTTTACCTCATTAAAGAATTCAGCTGAGCACAGACTGATAGCTTCCTGCCTTAAGAAACAAGTAAGAATGGGTACAGGTTTTACATCCCTTTTCCACCACTTACTAGCCATGTGATCTTGGGCAAGTTCTTTATTCAAAAGTATTTGTTTCCTTAACTATGAAATGGAAATTGTAATTCTTGCTTCAGAAAGTTAACTGTGGATATTAAATGAGATGGTGTATAGCAACTCCAAACACACTGCAGACATTCAAAAAAGAGTCTTCTTCCTTTCTCTTTGTTTAGCATATGGACCTTCGGGAATTCCAAGATCTAGGATGACAACAGCTCCTTTAGATTTATAATATATTTTATGTGTTTTACTGTTAAACACATTTTAACTTAACAACCCTGTGAGACAGAACCCCACTTACAGATAAGGACAAAAGGACAGTGCTTATTATTGGCAGAGTGGGGACCCCAAACCTAGGAATCCTGACTTAGAGTGAAATTTCCTCCAGGGACAGGAGCTGCTTCCTAAGGTACTAAAAAATCCTCCCTCTGAACCAGTTTCTGAGAAGGCACCCTCACGTCATAAAGTAGACACTAGGGGCTTAGTAAATGAAAGAATGTGAGCATCTGACCTTAGGCAAGTGGTGATATCTGAAGGACACCATACCTTGTGGAAAATCCTGATGGGAGCCATCTCTGCTCCATTTAGTGTCTTCAAAAGGAACATGGGCCAAGAGGAGGCATTCAGCCGAAATCCTGCAGCAAACATAATGGGCAACAGATAAAAAATGTGTTTCAAAAGGGAGTGGTGAGATCAAGTTTTCCCTTGGGAATCCAGCTACTCCTGCCACAACCTATATGCTGTGGCAGTTATAGAACCACAGGCTGTTAGGAAAGGACTTAAAGGTGAAATAGAAGAAATGCCTCATTAGAAGCCGAGGAAATGAGGCACGGGAGAGGACACGGAACTTGCCCAAGGTAATGTTGCAGAATAAGAAGTGGAACAAAGTCCCCAACCACCTTTTCTGACTCTGTGACAAGTATTAGAAAATACATATTATAGTGTTTAAAAAGCTTTCCTTGAAAAGTCCAAAATAGACGTGTGATAGGATTAACCAATTCTTAGAAATGATCTAGACAGCAGAGTGTGAGAGGGGATAGGATAATCTCTTAAGAAGAAACCAAATATGTCAACTGATACACCCAATATACACATAAATCTTTTTGGTTTCTTTCCATATTAAACTAACTCATTATTTCTCTCTCTGTGTCTCACTTTCTCTTCCTTTCACACACATACACACACACACACACACACACACACACAGTACAAAACACTTTCTGATACTCATTTTTCCTTAAACAATTAAGGATGAGACAATGATGAAGATGGAAGGGATAATCCTATCCCAAAATACACATTTTCCCCAGAGAGTAAAAAGAAGCCTAGAGAGATTAACTGTCCATTGTCATTCAGCAAGTAAAAGCAGAAAAAATGTGCCACTTAATTAATAAATTGTAAAAATAAGATTGTTATCGTAGTTAGGTCTTCCAAATAGAACTCTGAATGTTTCCTTTTATTTGGCTTCAACTCTCTAACCTGAGATATTCAAAACTAGTGCTTTTTGATAAGTCTCCCCATCGACCTCAGCCTTCCCATTCCTCACAAAACAGACAGACTGCATTAAAGCTGCAGAGCTGGAAATATCAACTGTTATTATTGAGAACTTTACTGTGTATGTGACACTGTGCTGATCGCTTTCCACAGACCATTTACTACTCAAGACAACCCAGGGAGGTAGGTATTATCTCCATTTTATAGAGGAGAAGAGAGGTAAAAAGTAAACTTAAGATCTCGAAGTGAGCAAATGAGAAGGACAGAATTGAAACCCAGGCAGTAGGACCCTTCAGCCCACACTGTGTACTACGTATGCTAGACTATCAATGCGCAAGCAAAATGAAAAACGAAGAATCAACTTTGGGGATTAAGTATTTTTTTTTAAAGATTTTATTTATTTATTCGACAGGCAGAGATCACAAGTAGGCAGAGAGGCAGGCACAGAGAGGGGGAAGCAGGCTCCCCGCTGAGCAGAGAGCCCGCGGGGCTCGATCCCAGGACCCTGAGATCATGACCTGAGCCGAAGGCAGAGGCTTTAACCCACTGAGACACCCAGGCGCCCCTGGGGATTAAGTATTAATTAATAACTGTAGTTAAGGGGGAGGAAGTGAAAAGAGAGAAGAATGTGCAGATTAGAGAGTTACCGCCCCACATGATGTAAACGTTTCGTCTCAAAGCTGGCTGGGCTAAGCCAAGCTCCCCCAGGTCAGGCGAGGTCCTGAGGCCACTCATTTATATCAGCAGTGGTGACAGCGATACGGATGTTCCTATCCCTTTGTCCAGAACTGCTACTGTTTACTTTTTTGCCTGCCTAGTCTTTTTTCCTTCTGGAGAAATTCTCTGTGATTTGGTGGGGATGCCTATCGCATGACTGTACCAACCTGGCTATGGAACAGAAAGTAATGCCAGGTGAAGGCATCAGACTCCCCCCCACTGAGAATGCATATGCATGTCCCAAGTTGGGTCAACTGTGTTCTGACAGGATAGGCATGTTGGAGGAGTGTCTGTCTTTCCCTGGGATCATGGCTAGAAGGATGTCTGTAGGTTTGGCACTACTACATGGAGAACATAACTAAGAATAAAGCCATGGTAGAGCAAGAGCTGGGGAGCCATGAGAGTGTTTAAAACCCTGTGTCCAAATACACTCGGCTTCAGGCCTTAACTTCTTGGTCATACAGAGTCGGTAATTCCTGCTTCCTCCTTTCACCTGGTTTGAGTGGAGTTTTGTTACTCACATTCAAAGGAGTCTTGACTACACTTTTCCTTTGATCAGAGTAAAATAAATAAATTTCTTCAGAAATTCGGGCCTGGTCTGTGTGTGAGAAAAACAACTCTCCTCAGGTCAGGCAAGGGCTGAGGCAAGTCAAACTTAGAGCAGATGTGCCGTGGATTGTTCACCACACTTCTGGGCAAGGCGAGGCAAGGCACAACTGTTCTAGGGAGATGCTTGCTATACCTTGATAAAAGAGGAGTAGGAGGAATGACTGCATGATCAGAACATTCAGATTCATGTCCTCAGTTCCCAAGGAGTGCCTTGCCATGTAATTACCAATTCCATTTTTTTAGAAATAGGTTACTCTGGAGCTCCTAGCTCACCTGGAACTTGAAAACCAAAAAAAAAAAAAAAAAAAAAAAAAAAAAAGTCCTCTCAGCTCTGGGAACACTATAATAATATTATAATAGCTAATTCATATTGATTGCTTATTATGCATAAAATTCTTCACATGCAATTTCCTTCTGGATATCTGAAATAATACCACAAGATATGCACTGTTACTACCCTTAGTTTGTAGACGATGAAATGGAAACTCTAAGTATCTTGTCCAGGGTAGTAAGTGATGAAGATTGCCATATATGATGGCCCCACTCTAGACCTCAGGCTCTTAACTATTCTGTTTCGCTACCTCCTAGCAAGCTCCTTCAAGAACAGCACAGAAGTAACACAGAAATGTTACCAACCCAAGGAATTACCGAGGTACATTATTCCCCAATGCTTACAGTGACGTGGGATCCCCCTCCAAATTCAAAGGTATCCCAATTCTGTCTTGGGCAGTCACAGATAGCATTTTACCATGGAAAGGGCCCCCAGAGACCATACAGTACAAAGATTTTATATTGCAGGTTGAACTGAAGTCTAAAACTGAAGTCCAGGGAGGCTACAAAACTTAACTGTGGTCACACAAATTGCTCTTGTAGAATCAGCCTGGAGCCCTAGGACCCTTCATCTGGGTTCTCTTCCATGAAAGTTCTCTTTCATACTATGCCACCTTCCAAAGAGAACATATATTATGCACATATGAACGCTAGGCTCTATGTGCTGTGCACTCTAAGTGGGTTTCCTCATTTAATCACTACAACTCTGTGAATTAGGTATGAGAAAAGTAGCACTGGTTCAGGAACCAGGTGCTTCGATTCAAATCTGGCTCTGCCATTTACCTGATGCGTAACCTATGGCAAATTACAAAAACTCTCTCTGGCTTTGGTTTCTTTAACAATAAACTGGAATAGAAATGGTAACCACCTTAGTGGGTTGTTCTAAGGATTAAAATAGGTTAAGACAAGTGAAGGACTTCAAACTCAGCCTGGTATATGACTGGTGTTAGATAAATGCTGGCCATTACAGATGGAAAGACTGAGCTTAGGGAAATGAAGTACAATCTGAGGGAACTACACTAACTAGTCAATAGCAGAGGCAGGACTTCAGCCCAATTCCTCTGTCTCCAGAACCTTCATTATCTTCAAATATTAATGTCTTCAAATATTTCATCACTCAGCCCTATTGTAACGTTTTTACTGGTAAAAGGAGTTTGGGTCATGAATTTGTATAAGAGGGAAGAGAAGAAGAATAAAAATAGTAATTTGAGGATCTCCTCGAATTAAACAATGGCCTGGGGTGCTTATGAAGAAAAGAACAGGTGGGTCAGAAATCCCAACCTCTGACAGCGGGAGCACCTTAGCGCTCGGCCACTCGTCCTCTTCTTGATCTCGTCTCCTCCTAGAAAATAGGACTGCCAATTTATATCCCCAGCTCAAACCTCTGCCCTGAGTTTCATGCCCATATTTCCAATTTGTTCTGTAAGTCTACTTGGATGCTAAGAGATCTCAAAATGAGTAAGTTTCAAGCAGAACTCTGGATTTGCTGCCCGCCCCCAACTTGTCCAGTCATCTCAGCTCACTGGTACCATTTATTTAAACCCAGCTGGCTCAGGCCAAAAGGCCTAAAAGTCACCTCTGATGCCTTCCTTCTAGCACCCTTCAAATACATTTAGTCAGCAAGGCTTGACAGCATGTGCATCTTCAAACCATTTCTCGCCATTCAAGATTTCTCACCCGCCAATGACTGCCCCAATCTAAGGCCCAGTCACACTCTGCCTAGAATGCTCCATCAGCTCTCTACCTAGACTCTCTGCCTCTACTTTTGCCTCCCTACTGCTCCACATAACAGCCAGAATGGTATGTTTGTGTGTGTGTTTTTAAATATAAATCAGATCACATTACTGTTATGCTTACATCCCATAACACAAAATAAATTTATGGTCTTCACGTATGTTAACAAGGCTTACATGGTCTGGAACTTGCTTACTTCTCATAACTCACCTCCTGTTACTCCTCTGCCCCCTTTTACTGATCTTTCTGTTTCTCAGACACACCAAGCTGTATCCTTCTTCCTCAAACACCCTTCCCTTTCTCAAATCTTTATTAATTCTTTGTCAAACTATCATCTCCTCAGAGAGGCATTCCTAGGTCATCTTACTTAAAACAGCTTCTTAAATCCTGCTCCTTTTGGTCCTTAGCCCTTATCATTGTCTGAATTTTCTTTTTTCCTTGTAATATGTATGTCTTTTCCAGCTATGATATAAACTCCATGAGTTTTTACTGGACAAAGGAAAAATCTCCACTTAGTAAACAGATACCAAGAATCGATGGACACTTTATCATGTTATCCCATTAACTACTTACAAAAACCAGGTATGGCAGAGTTTAGGAACGATCTGGCAGGTGAGGCAATTGAAATTCAAGGTTAAAAGTCAAGGAAGAGGAACTCACCAGTGCCCACATAACTAAGCTTTTAAGTAGCTGAGCTAATATGACAAAGCCAGGTCTCTTTAATTCTAAACACAGGCATGCTGCAAGTGTT